GGCTACTCTTTTACCAACGAATAGTGGGATTGACCGTCACATTATAACGCCCCCACGGCTGAAAGGGCGAAAATGGTAACTGTATTTGATGGTTTATTTGGGTAATAGCCATCGTGTTCTTTGCTTTTAGCAAGTTATGACCTTTCAGAAGACTAGGGAGACAAACGTGTAATTCTGACGATTATTTTTATTTCTTACGCGTTGTTTTTAGGCCTTTTTTGGCAACACTTGATGTGAGTTGGGTATTGTATTGAAGCTATTTAGTTCTATATCAAAATACAATCCTTACTTTTGAATGTAAAATGTGGCGCGTGAGTCCTCCTAAAAGGTGGTATCGTTGTTTTCACGTCTGGAACTGCTGTTACAGTCAATGTATTTGTTCTGTTTGGGCTCACTTTTTCCCATTTGTTAGAAATCCTGGAAAACTGAAAATTGGTGAAAGGCGTAGAGTCTTTATCATACGCTTTTATAAAGTTATTTTTTTCCCGATTGATAAATTTTCTGTAACCATGGAAACCAGGAAGCGGGGTCGTGTTTGTTGTGGAGGTTGCAACCCCGTGGTAACGACCAGGATGATGCGTCATTCTTGTCACGGTAGATGAGGCTGCTCGATAATTATATTGACTACGATGTTTTGTTCTCTTTTTCGTATGTGTTTTAACCCTTCGATCGGAATGTGACGTCGCTTTTGTCGTGAATCCGGCCGATATTCTTTTGTGTTTGTATCGATCAGGATACGGCGTTGTAGAAGTAATAATATTTCGAAAATGGCTGTGATATGGATGCCATGTTGTGGCTGATGAGGATGATATTTTACGAAAACCATAACGCGGTGTGTTACGTACTGATGAAGTTGTGTATCCATGGCGACGATAACTACTTCTAACTGAATTGATTAAAGCTTTTGAATCATTTTGACGAGTTGTGGGCGATAAGGAGACGATATTTTGTGATGATGTGGGGAATTTCCTCTGTTTGATAGGGTAGTGTTCTTTCGGTAGCCAATATTCGTATCTTATACCTGGGTTCGGTTCTTTAAGCAGTACCTGTGTTAGAGAATCATAAAAAAAGTCATTTAGTATATTAACATTAGCACATATTCAAAGATGAGCTTAATAAATAATTCATTTCGTGTCACTAAAAGGAGTTATATTAGAAATAAATTACTGCCATTAAGAATGGGACTGAGTAATATGAAATTACTGTGATCTTGAATTACTCGTGTATCCAATTAACTGCAGTAATAAAGTTGTTGGCAAATGTTTTTTGTTTTTTTTTCTAAAAAGATATTTTTGATAAGAAAAGTAATCGGTTGTTACCATTACGTAAATATTTTGATTTATTGGACCTGGGATGGTGATTGTTTCGACACTGTCATTGGTTCGGTTGTAAATCACCACTGAATCAGCCACGTGATAACTTCCTGGCCAATCAATCAGCCAGTTTCCATTGATAATGAACGTCCCTTTTTCATCCGCTAGGGCTATACCAATGATCAGAAGAAAAGTAACTATAAAAAAGCTGTATCAATAATTTATGAAACAAATATTCCATTCCTGATGTGTAAACCTCTACTAAATCAAACACACACTTATCTACAGTTGATTACTAGTAATTACAATTAAAATTCATTATGGAGCAACCTAAAAGTTTTGTTTTAAATATACTTTAGGCAATGATGTCAATTTTCGAAAAGAAAATCTTTAAGGGGTAGACCTTTTTTATGTTTAATTAATTAAAATAAAATAAGTTGAGATAAATTATATAATTTATGTTTTAAAATACTTTCGTGGACTTTTATTTTGAATTGAGATTAACCCATTTAGACATGATAAATTAAAACATCTTAGTGACTTTACGATCTTACCTAGTAAGTTTTTGCTGGAATCTAAGATCAGGATATTTGTAGCCCTAGCGGGTATTATAGCAACATCACTGTATCCTAGACCAAAATCTGAAGAAAAAAAATCATTACAGAAAATAAACAGATAAAATAAATAAGGTTATTGTTAATGATTATTAAGGAAGTGATAGTTATAATATTTCTCATGTTGTGTTTTATGGAACAGTACAGTATGTTTGAAACCTACCACTGAAGAGAAAAACAAATATGCGGGGTTGTTTTCTTAATCTCAAACAATAAATGTAAATTCAGGCATAACAACAATAATGAATATTCTACAGTAGCGTATTATACATTTTTTCTGCTATAAGTAAGCCTAATTTAATATTAACTATTGTTTTTTTGGTATAAAATATTGTGTGTCTTACCGTAATGTCCAATTGTAAACAACTGATCATGATAATGGAATTAAAAGAAAAAGAAAATAGAGTTAGATTTTACAAAAGTCAGGCAATTGTTGTGTTTTTAACTTCATAATTTCCATGACATTAGATTTGAATAATGTTGATCCAATTGTACAAATATGCTTTTTTTAAAGTTCGTCACATTTTCTTAATTCGCAGTCGCACGCTTGACAACCACAGTTGATTGTCCACCACACATGACCATTAGATAGTTTCTCAACTAAAAACGACGAACGAGAATCACAAACCTCTAAAATAATCTTGAAGCAACAAGCAGAAATACTGAATAACAAGAACTAAGTAAGAATAATTTTTAGGGATGACGGGAGCATTCTGAGGGATGGAAAAACAATAACATGATTAACTCCAACAATATTTTGGGAAGCGTAGGAGTATGCTGAGAAGTAGAATAACAAAAATTTTCATCACAAACACCTTCATTAGTTTTTTGGGGCGAGTACTAAAAGAACGGAATAACATGAACCAGCATCATAACACCTATACTTTTTGTTTCGGGTGTATGCTAAAGGAATTTAAACGTCATAAAGTCACAATAACTTTAACTATTTGAAAATACATTTTGAAAATAAGAGATTATACGTATTAGGTACAAAAACTACATTAACTAAACTGGCCGGTATGCACAAAAATCTATTTTTAAAATTCTTTAAAGTTACTTAAAAAGCTTTGTTAAAGAAAAGTTTCACATGGATCTAAAAATAACGCATAACTTCTAGCAATAATGGAACATTTCTATAATATATATAAACTCGTTTTAGTCTAAGAACATTTGTTGTAGAAATTAATCATGAATTTTTCATATGCAAGATTTTCAAAAGTTTTAATGAGATAGTTAAGAGATACAATGGTGTATTGTTGATAGTTAAGAGATACAGTGATGTATTGTTGATAGTTAAGAGATACAACGTTATATTGTTGATAGTTAAGAGATACAATAGTGTATTGTTGATAGTTAAGAGATACGACGTTATATTGTTGATAGTTAAGAGATACAATAGTGTATTGTTGATAGTTAATAGATACATTAGTGTATTATTGATAGTTAAGAGATACGACGTTATATTGTTGATAGTTAAAGGATACAATGGTGTATTGTTGATAGTTAAGAGATACAGTGATGTATTGTTGATAGTTAAGAGATACAACGTTATATTGTTGATAGTTAAGAGATACAATAGTGTGTTGTTGATAGTTAATAGATACAACGATGTATTATTGATAGTTAAAGGATACAATGGTGTATTGTTGATAATTGAGAGATACAATGGTGTATTGTTGATAGTTAAGAGATACAACGGTGTATTGTTGATAGTTAAGAGATACAACCGTGTATTGTTGAAAGTTAGGAGATACAGTGGTGTATTGGTCTATGGATCTCATACTTATATGCTCTTGTTGGTTTTATGGTTGTTGTTGTTGTTTTTCAAAATATAGAATGTAGCATTTTAAAAAATAATAAAGCTTGTGATGATAGCATCCTTGGTGGTATTATGAATACTTGTTGTTACAGTTAAAGATAGTTGTAAAAAAGTAAAATAATTTTTTATGTATTTATTTATTTATTTACAATACCCCAAGTTTAAAAAAAACATAAAAGATAAGTGCTTACACTTATAACAGGATTATCGATGAAACGGTAAAATCTATCATATTTTAATATTTTTATTAATTGTTGATAGCTCCCGATGGCTCAGCGGTAAGACTGAAGAGGGCGTTATAACGCTAAAGATAGGTTTCGATACTCGCATTAGCACAGCACAGATAGCCGATCGTGCAGCTTTGTGCTGAATAACAAACAAATAAAGACTGTGGATAAAATATACGATATTTATAAAGTGCCTCAACATGGATTGTGTTACATTACATCTCTAAGAATAACTTCCGAAAATTTTGATGTGAACTTACGAGATGATTATTCAACTCGAATTCAGAATACTAGAAAATGTACGTTTTAATGGTTCAACCGAAAGAAATTTGAAAAATAACTTTTGTTTAAAAAAGACGAAAAGTAATTGTATTCAGAACCAACCTTTCATGATTAGAAAGCTCTTAAATCTACAGAAATCCAACATTTATTTACTTGTGTCCTATTTGATCGTAGAGAAAGATTTGAAACACAAAACATTATGTCGGCAACATTTTGTAAACAGCATTTCACAGTATAGATGTAAATAACACTTTGTATCAAAGCTGAAATACAGAATTTATAATTTCAAACAATTGTAAATGTGAATTTATTTTCATTAAGATAAGGTTGTGAGATCGTCATTTTTGAAGTATTTTATTCTTGAAAATGTAAGGGCCTTTTATAAGTTTTATCAGTTTGTAGGAGAGATAAATATTAATCATTAACTACTTTGGTTGGAAACTTTCAAAGCTACACTTTGTATAACAATCTAAACGACATACATATATATTTGTAAAACTGGTGATAAAAATAACTTAAATAAAAAATGCTCTTTTAACTTTAAGCTTGAGTTGATAAAAATTCAAAATAATCAAAGTATAGTTAAATTACGTTTTTACGTGATAAATTTCTTGACGTGGCACTATTATAAACATAACACCGGAATAAAAAAAGTACCATACTCACTATTATACAATGAAGAGTTTTTTAGGATACTGGAAATGTGGCCTAAGGACTTTTGACCATGGAATACATCTTTGTAATGGATGCACGTAAGATTTCGACCTCCACAAATCCTACATTTGTCAATGGTTCTATCAGACCCAATTCGGCCATCACATCCTATGGGCTACACATAAAAAATACAAACTACATTTAACGAGGAGATTTATAAATTATAAACATTGTTAAAGAATCTTTTTTTTATAAAATATAAGATATATTATTTGATGGACAACTCCACCTTAATTTTCGATTCCATTCACGACTTATTTTTGCTTGACAACGAAAACATTAAGAAGTTTGCCAACTTCATATGAAATTGACCCTTCAGTTGCAATAATAACACCACTTCTCTTTGGTAAATAAGTCTTCAAAATAACCAATGATTGAGTTCCTAATTTACATGTTTACTTTGAAATCAAATAAGCTCTTAAGCTCAAAATACACCTCTGTATAGCAGTAACCAATGCTGATGAAAATACGTACCATACAACGGCCGTTTACACAGACATTCTTTCCACCAGGCTTACATTTTGTCCCATCTACAACTTTACCAAAGCTATACGCCAGGTGATGTTCTTTTGCTTGACATTTTAATTCACAAGGGTTACCACCTGTAATAAAGGAAAAAAATATTTATCCATCTTGGTATCTTTGAGCTTGACAGGTTAACTACTGTTTCAATGCTCGATTATTTTATTTGAAATGTCCAAACTTCAGTTATTGCACTAATATTCTGAAAATGCTGTTTTGTTGAATTTCGCGCAAAACTACACGAGGGCTATCTATGTTGGCTGTCCCTAATTTAGCAGTGAAAGACTAGAGGGAAGGCAGCTAGTCATTATCATCCACCGCCAACTCTTGGGCTACTCGTTTATCAACGAATAGTGAGATTGACCGTTACATTATAACGCCCCCACGGCTGAAAGGGCGAGCATGTTTGGTGATCGCGCAAAGATACACGAGGACTATTTGCACTAGCCACTCATAATTTTGAAGTGACATACAAGAGAAAGAGAAAGTAAATATTCAACACCAGTCATCGCCAACTCTTGATAGACCAGATTGTTGGATTTTATCTTCACTCTTATAACGCACCCACGGCTCCAAAGTGCGAAACGCAACTTATTTTGTCTTTGCTGTAACGAGACGCGAACCACGGAAGCTCAGATCCACAGTCAGGAACGCTAATCATTGATTCGCGATCGGCCCTGTTTTTAAATAAGGACATACACACGCTCAGTTTATTTTGAAATATTAATGTGTTAATATAATATTGTAGTGCACGGCAGCTTTATATTGACATGCATTTGAATTTGAACTGTGAATAAGTATTTTCTACATAATTGTAAATCTATTTGTTATTAGTAAGTTGCATTTTTTTGATGACAAAATAAATGATAAAAATGCATGTATATATCTTAAACAAGTAATCTAACTGTTTGAGTCTTTTCACTCAAAAACTGCCATTTTGGTTTTTCTGTTGCAAGAGCTATTGTAAACAATATTTCTTGGCGGGGTACCAGTTTATATTGAACTTTGGCAGATTACAGTTTTATGTACGATATCCCGTAGTTTGTGCGATGAAGTCATCAAGATATCTTTCATATAAGATTTATTACAAACAGACTTAAGCTACTATCATCAGTAATTTCTATACAGAAAAAACTTTCACCCCACCACACCAGTTTGACTAAGCAAGACTCACGAACGATACGTAGTGGGTTACAAAAGATCCGAGTTGTCCCCCTCCCCCCCTATCCTAATCTAATGGAGCTTGTAACTGGTTGATTTAACCCGAGATAAACTTTTTTCAAATACAGTATAAACATCGATAGTTTAACTACAGATCCGAACAAAAATGGTTTCTAATCATAATCTTATTAGAAATATATATTCTAGTATGATATTACGCACTCGAAAACACGTGAATTAAATAAATATTTATGCCATAAATATTATATATAATATTATTTATTTGGCTGTCCAAAAAGAAAAGAAAAAGAAGAAAGCAGTTCTGTACATTAGTACTAATAAAATTAACAAACATGATAACAAAATTATTTAAAACCAACTATAGAGTTTACTTTTTATAGCAAACAATTTTAAACTATGTATCCAATAATATTGATGATGTTAAAAAAACGCGTAGGTTCAAGAAGTCTGAATAGAAATGAAGAAAAACCCTATAACCTGAGCGCTTTCGTAAGGTGGGCCTTTCTTCTTCAGGGGCAAACTGGGAATAGTTCGAGTTTGCCCCTGAAGAAGAAAGGTCCACCTTAAGAAAGCGTTCGGGTTATAGGATTTTTATTTGTTTCTATCCAATAATAAATTGGATATAAATTCTTTTAATCGCTGTTTATATAACCTTTTTTCTTTGCCACGTTTGTTTTTTTTTAATAATAGTTAAGCTGTTTTTGGTTTAGATTATACATATACAGTTTGTCGAATGTTTCGAAATATTTCTTACGTCCAAGATCAGCCAACCATTCTTTGACAAAGTGACCCGCCACCTTGCGGTTGTTATAACTGGAACACTGTATTAGTCTGAAATCCGTCGCGTTCTGGTTACAGGCCTATTCAATAGAAAAAAAATGTTATCAGAAAATGCAGTTGCTTCAGCAGTCTGAAAGTATGACAAGTTCAATAAATTATGTGAGGTTTCTAAGGGTTTTAAAAGATGAAACATCACGTTACGTCCCATAGTTCATCACGGATGTGAAATAATTGAATGCATATCTTAAAATGTAAAATGTATAACAAAATGACTGAAGATTCTTTTGAAAGTATACTAATCGCTTTTTACGAACAAGTCTGACTAAATCATGTCTAATATTTTCAATCTATTCCTCAAGAGACACTAGTTAAACAGCCAGTCAGAGACCCCAAGATCCAGGCACAGGTATCCCCTAATTCAGAATTGCTTACCAGAGCACGGGAAATCAAGTAGCAACATCTGCCGCCTATGCGGCTACTCTTTAAGGGAATAATGAAATCGACTGCCATAATTATAAAGCCCTCACAGCTAAAACTGAGTGTTCAGCTGCATATGTAGTCCAGCCCGACATACTAATCATTAGGCTACGCTCGCCCCCTAACGGAGTGAAAAGGTAGCATTTTCATGAAGACTAGGCTTGAGTTTTAAGAAAAGGCATTTATCTGACCAAAGTCAGCATAAACAAAATAATTGTACGTTCTAACGAAGAGACTTTTTATTTGATTAAAGGAACTTTTTTGTCTTATACAGAAACTACTTTTACGTAAACCCATTTAAAGTAGTTTGTACGTAAACCCATTGAAAGTAGTTTGTACGTAAACCCATTAAAAGTACTTTAAACGTAAACCCATTAAAAGT